ATTTAAGCGTATAGGTACCGTATGCACTATAAGTTGACGCGCGGCTCAACGACGGGAGTTAAGTACATGTCAGGAAACATTTCGTTACCGCGTTTTAAAAACCTAGTAACGACATCTAGCGGAATCAATTTAAACTATGTAGACGTCAGTTAATAAGAACTCTCAAAAATATTTTTATCATAATTTTGCACAATTTTTCTTATTGTAATACCGATTCATTCATAACCACATATAAGAACTGTATTCATTTCCGTTCAATAAATATTACTAAGGCTTATTAATAAGGCTTACTAAGAACTGTTTCTACCACAGTTAAGTAATAGTTAAGGGTGAAAGCGTGACAGGTGGTGATAGTATTTCCATACTTATAATCACGCCTGTAACCCTTGCGGGGTAGGCAGAGCATCAACAGATTACTTAATATCGTCTGCGAGGTTATCGCCTATTCTGTGAATTACAATGCACCAAAACGTTTTAAGAAAATCAGCTGGTGAATTTTATGTTTTTTATCGCTCTCTTCTCGGTCCTGCGTGGAAAAATACAGATCCATATATTTTCTTAATTTTTGTAAAAAGACATAATAATCCAGATATTCTGACCTTCTGTGTTCGTCCATCGTACCGTCGTCCGTCTTGTAGAATCACGGTGGTGCCACCTAGCTGAATTTAATTTTGCAACATATTCGATTTTCCCACGGGAATGAGATGTTTTTCCGCGGAAAAAAGTAGCCTATGTCACTCTAAAACCACCAAACTATTCCCATACCAAAATTCATGCCATGCCGACGCTCTGTTGCGACGTGAAAGAAGGACAAACTTTTGCAACATATTCTATTTTCCCACGGGAATGAGATGTTTTTCTGCGGAAAAAAGTAACCTATGTCACTCTACAGCCACCGAACTATCCCCATACAAAAAACCATGCCATGCCGACGTTCTGTTGCGACGTGAAAGAAGGACAAAAAAACAAACGAACAAACACACTTTCGCATTTATAATATTAGTATGGATATAACCGCAGCATGGCTATACCACGTATAGAACGTATCTGAAGACTAGTCAATTTTCAATTCAGTTGTATGAGTCCACTTTACGAACTAATGTAGCATTGTTACTATCTTACGTGAAGCTTATTAAAGATGAAAAAATATTTCAAGAACTTTTATTTGCTAGAAATTTAGGTACAGACACAAAAGGAGAAACCATATTTAAAACACAGGAAATTTTTGTGATGAAAAAGGAATTCCCTTGTAGAATATTGTATCAGCTGCTACAGATGGTGCTCCAGCTATGAGGGGTGTCAAAAAGGCTTCATAGCGTACTTAAAAAACAAAATTCCAGATGTGGTTGCTGTACATTGCGTTATACATCGACAACATTTGGTTGCTAGACATTTAAGTGAACGACTGTTTCAGTCATCAGAGCAGTCAACAAAATCCGTAACAACAAAATAAGCAAAATCAAGCAGCAAGCAAAAAAAAATGTATAAAGTGGTGGATTACATTGTAAATTTTCGTGTCGCAAACAAATATTTAGAGAGGTATAAATTCTTAGCCTTGACAGTCGCATACGGTAGTGATTTTTATTCATTATTTTATTTATATAAGACATAAGCGGTTTTTATCCCAATTTTATAGACTTATTTATCTCTTGATCTCATCTTCATGGAAGTCAAAATTTCTAAATTATAATCTAGAGGTGTAGTCGACTACTACACATTGGAGCAGTATCTTGATAATGCTGTGAAGTAGCGACGTAAGAGTATCTACTACTCCAAACTTAAAACCTCTAAGACCCTTTAAAGCAGTATCTTTATAATCACAAGTTAAAATAATAAAACACCTTTGCTGCCAAACCACCTACCAAAAGAGTTATGGCTTATTAATGATCTATGAGGGAAGTCTACGGTCAGAAGAGTACTTTTGATAGCCTGTAATGAATGAATTAAACTTGTGGGAGTAAATAGTAAAACGGGTATGTTTGATATCGATTTATTGATAGTTGTGGTGGAGCGAGAAAAGTAAAGACCATCCGCGGTCATGCCGCGGTATTTATATTATCGTAGCAGTGTCCTCTGTGTACGTTCCGCGATAAAATATTTTAAATACTTACTTGGTTTCATGTTTACAGTTAATTTTTCCTGTCTAACCTACAATACGGCTAAGGGTATTTCGGCAGAAATATACCTTCTGAACTTAAGTAAATTTTTAGTGACGTTTGCCACGATATATTTTATCTTACCAATTCAGTGCAAAAGTCTGCATTATCGACTACTTTTTTGTTTTAAGATGTAGCTTTGATTTATGTATACATGGGGCACACTGAAAGTTTTGCAGTTCTGGTTTCTCAGAACTGTTTGAATTTCGAATAATTTTTTTACGCACGAGTCCTTGATAAATTAAAAAAAGGCGGGAAATCGTTTCGTTTTTTATCGAACTTTGAATTTCGTCATAAGAAGTGAAAATGGAATTAACGCGAAAAGATTATAGAGCAATTAAAAAAGTTTTTAGCGATTTTAAAAGTTCTCGTTCCGCAAGATTGTGCCGTTCGCCCTCTAAATGCTTTTGTGAGGGAAGAACCTCATCTGAGCACCGTGAGGAGATGGTATTATTGACAATAATTATGTGCGTTGGGGTAATACCGGACGATTTTCGACTAGTTAAAAGAGTTGGGCAAAAACCTTATTTTCTCGACATCCATATACGACAAATTTCTGAAACATGGCGCAAATCGTTAATGGTTACACGTAATTTAGGTATAAGAATCTTTTACTTTTCAAAACTCAACAGTTTCTGCTTAAAACGAGTGCCAAGACAATGCATAATTTTTTATATGCATGTTGAAGAATTGGCCATCAAGGGGTAAGACCGGGCGTCGCTAAAATCGGAATAATGAAAATAGATTATATTTTAATACTCTTTATTCAATTACCACCAGATTTACATGAATTCGATATCTGATAATATACTATTCTGACTAAAAATCTCACTTTCTAGATAAATTATACGCGCCTTAACTGATAATGTGTGTCGGCCATAATAATGGTTATTTCCACAGCTTAACCATAAGTATAATATGGAGTGTAGAAGTAAGGAGTACCAACTCCCATAGTAGAATAATTAAAAAAGTGGTCATCTGTAAGCAGTAAATAACAGTTCTAAAACTCTCCACAATAGCGCTGGAGTAGCTACTGGGATGAAATGAACTTAGCAGTTGTCGACGGTTAGAAGTGTGCTGCTAAACTGCTCAGTAGCTCTAAAATCTAAAATAGTTTTATTTAGTAAATATAACCTCGAAAAAGTCGTCTATCCCACTAATATTTTTCAGCACGTTCTTTAAAATTTAGCCCGCTATAGCTACAGTGGCGCCACCCTTATTTAACGGTTTTCTATGGTCACTTTTTAATACACAGTCTGTACTCCTTACCTCTACACTCCATACATAAATATACGTTAGTACTCTTATTAGTTTGTGCATAAATATAAGAATTGTCAGCTGTCAGTGTCACTAAGTGTTTCTGTCAGAATAATTGTCAGTCAGTATCAGTAGTATAATAGTGTTCTGTGGTAGTATAAAGCGGGCTACATACGACACGATATCGGTGGCGATCTAGGGTGGAGTAGTGGGGATGCCTCCTAGATTGCCTCTAAATCGTGTCGTATGTAGGGCCATCCTAAGTCGTGGCCGATATCGCCTCCTTAATCGGCTGGCAGGAGCAAAAATGCTTCCTAGATCAGCCGATGCTTCCTAGATCGGGGCACCGCCCCCTCCTTACTGCGCGTGTGTAGGCGCATCGGCCCGATTTCTTTTGGCAGTCGCTGCCGGCAACCCTCGCGGAAGGAAGTTAACAAAACAGTGATACTGAATGACCTTTTTTTATATAACAAAATTTTTACATTTTAATCATATAAACGGAGTAGATGCCTATGGCACTGATATTTTACAAAAAACCAAAAAAAAGTGAATAAAATAAATAAATTAATTGAAATTTTATCGAAATTCAAATCATATCCACCTTAGCCTGTGACCCTGCGAAGTGACATGGTCAAGAATGCCTACTAAACTAATTTTTTTTATTGCCGTTCGTAAAGTAGAGTGTATGATGTGAGTAAGGAGAAGATAAAGCCTCTCCTCAACAACTAACTCCTATTCCAACGCTATCAACACAAGACCGCACTCATATCTCTTACAACTCCACAAGACCACACTTCGATCTCTTACGTGCCTTCATCCTCTTATCAACAACTAACTTCTACTCCTTCACCATCTCCACATCAACAAACAAGTTATATAAAAGGGAGTATGTCCGAAATTAAAGGTTTCTTTATGTTTAAAAAAAGATATAAGCTATTTTATTTTCTGATAGTTTTACTCCATAAATAAAGATTACATTAAAAAAAAAGTATACATATTATTATACAAAAGTATTTTATTTCCTTGTTAGTTGTGTGTAATACATAACCAGATTTTGACCAAAGCAGAAATGAACAAAGAGAAGAAATAACTAAATAGCATAGGTAGGAGAAATTGACATTTTTATATAAGTGGCGAAATCATTTCTAGAAGGTTATAAAAACTGTCTTCATCCATCCGGAGAAAATTAATCACGTCCTTGGATTACAGGCCATTTAGTACGTTTATGTGGCTTAATTTTTATCTCTTTTGGAGCCATTTTTTCACCCAGCAACTTCTCTTTTTTCTATTTTCGAATAAATTTACCGAGAGGGCTAATGCCAAACCAATACACTGGTGTTTTAAGAGAGTTGAAGCTATTTTGAAGAACTCTACCGCATATGTGTTCCGCTCCAAGTCCGAACGCGTACTGCTAGGCAGGCCCGTGTGTAGGGTCTGCCCCGATAAAAGCCCCGATTTCTTTCCACCCTAGATCGCCACCGATATCGTCTCGTATGTAGCCCGCTTAAGTATATGTCAGTGTCATCTGTCTTCTATCTTTATCATGTATAAATTGTAAATATAGTATTTATTCAATTTATTGGAAAAATGAAATATATCGGTGTTACAAATCACCTAAAAAAGTGCACTAAAGTGATTAGTATCAAACGTGATCATTCAACTACTACCAATGAAAAATTACAAAGTGTCGTGGGACTTGAAGTGCATGCTCAGTTAAATACGCAATCAAAGTTATTTTCTGGCGCTCAAAATACATTTGGTGGTTTGGTTAATAATTGTGTGTCATTATTTGATGCTGCTATACCTGGTACATTACCAGTTTTAAATAGAAAATGCGTTGAGCTTGGTATATTGACAGCTTTAGCGCTTTCTTGTAAAGTGAATGAAGTGTCAAGTTTTGATAGAAAACATTACTTTTATGCCGACTTACCAGCTGGTTATCAAATAACACAGCAGAGAGCTCCATTAGCTAGCGATGGCGTAATTAATTTTCAGGTATAGATCTTTATTGTATCATCAATTTTTAAAAGGAATACTTAATTAAAGTATAAAGTAATTTTATTTAAGCATATGAATATTGTTTTGTATGGTTGATGAACACTTACTAATTCATATTTTAATTTATTTATTAACATATTCCTTTTTCTTTAAATGTAAAAAACAACAAGCTGGTGACTGAAGCACTGTTTACGCGCGCCCTCTGTATCCTCTACCAACTGTATAGTAGAAGACATAGATATATTTTGTTGTACTCTGGGTGGGTTCATAGTAAGAGCTCCATTTGAAATTAGTTATGGTCCTACTGTGATACAGATATGGTGTTTCAAATAGCAATAAGTACATATTTATAATCGAAAATATTAGCTTGTAACGGTGTAGTTGGAGTTGGTAAAAATAGTTGTCTACATTATCGCATAGGTGATAAACCTGTAAAGATAATTGTATAGTGGGAAATAAATAAATAATAACTTTTCAGTCCATCTGATGTTCAACAGTGGTCACTGGATCCATCCATCCAGGTTGGGTTTACAATTAGGTCGCCTGAATTTGAGGATTCTGTCACTGTGGGGGGTCAAGAGGGTTTATCTGAAGCCACGGGATTTTTGCTGCCATAGTAGCATCGAAATAGTTTTAATTAATTTTTAAAATATTGGTAAAAGACTAATTAATTAAATATTCTCACGTTTTTGATGTTGCATCTGTCAATGTCATATCGATATATAGTACTGAATTGATCTAGTGAATCAATATTTTTACCTTAGAGAATCGAGATCAAACCTTTTTCTGTTTAATTAAAAACTATAAAATTATTTACAATTAGTTGAATGTACCCCAACTCGTAAAGAATGACAGTTTTTCAATTCAATCATTCAATGTCATCTGTACTTTATTGTACCTTTTGATATTGTAAATATAAACTCTTAACACAAATCAAAAACAGATAGATTTTTGCGAAATCAATCTTTAAGACTTGGATTTTTAGTCAATTGATTCATCCAATTTCTGCTGGCCATTTTGTTGACAGTGACAGACATACTTTATGTCACGTCCGTTGCTTCCGAGTTTCAGAATTTTGGTGAATAGTGGAATATTTGTGGCGGCAGAATACTGTTAAATATTGCAAAGATCCTTTCTTACAAATGGTGGGAGCCATAAATTACGTTTATACATTAAAGTTATTATAAAAGTTAATATTTTGGTGTTATATTAAGTGCAATAGCTAGTGAAGAGAGCCTGGGACGTGGGGCACTCTGACTTGGACAGGTTAGGTTAAAAGGGGATGACGGGGTCGAGGGCTCCATCGACCAGGCTTCCCTCGACCACACCATGTTGTGTTGCATGGGGCTACCGTCCCCTAACTCTATCTTCCCATAAATCAGGTTAAAATTGTCATATCATAATTATGAAACATAACCTCAAAATGAGATTTTTAAGAATTAAAAAAAAAACTAAGAACGTCTGGCAGGTGGGGGAAGTAGGGGGTGATTCTGCAACTCCTTGCCCTCCCCCTCACCACCACCCATCCTCTAATTCAGGCGACTTAATTGTAAACCTTACCCATCCATTCATCTATTACTATAGAAGTTCTCTACTGAAGATACAGGCCTCCATAGATTGTCTCAAAGGGGGTATTTTGCTTAATGGATAATTGTAGTCCACTCCAAACATAAGGGCTCTGTAGGTGCGGTATTTATAATGACAACTAATGTAAAATTACAGTCTATATACTTCTCACTGCTCTAGGCATAGGTTGCCTCTCATTTTTAAGAGTTGTTAAAATGATGACTACTATAATGGAATGTCCCACACTTTGTTATGGTACTAATTCTCTTAATTATATCACAGTGATTATATATTAATATAGATGGAAACCCATTTAGAAGATGAACCAGTTGATAAAGTATGAATAGTATGTAAATAATTTTCTGAAAATGTTTATTTACAGGTATTCACACCAGGTGTCCACAAAAAGCCATACAATAAGAGTTCAAAAATTAAGCAAATTCAGCTAGAGCAGGACAGTGGTAAATCACTGCATGATAGTGATTTAAAGAGGAGTCTTGTTGATCTTAATAGAGCAGGAGCACCACTAATTGAGCTCGTGTTTGAACCTGACTTAGAGGTAATCTTATAAAATACTAGTCACACCTGGCCACACATTGCCAGGGCTCGAACAGTTTAAATAAACATGAGCATATTCAAATACAACATTGTGACAAAATTTTAAAGCTATTGATTGAAAAACTTTCCATGTTTTAAGATTTTGTACAAATAAACATAAACTTTTTTTAGTTTTTGTATGTTGACAGAGGAATACAATATCATTACCCCATCTTCTATGCTAAGGCATACACTATAAGTAGTGTAGAATAAACTTGGTTATTGGTTGTTGTGTCATTCTTAATTAGTAAAATTAGTAATGTAACCATTGTGTTTGTAAACTTTTTGGTACCTTTTAAATTTTTATCTGTTGTAATAATATAGATGCGGGTGGATAGGTTACTGTAGTTTGTAATGTTTGGAGAATACATTCAGCGGTGAACTTATGATAGCCTTATGTTTTATAGAAATATTTAATAAGCTTGATTATTTAATAATTTCTTATTCTATTAAAGATTATATTGAGCCCATGCTATATTTTAAGTGAAAATATTTAGAAAAACCAGTGCTGGTTAAAACTATATTAATATATTACCTTTTTTATCACTACAATTTTATTTGTAAATTATTAAATATATTAAACCTACACTATTATACTGCTGCTTAAGCTATATTATTTTGTATTTAATGCTACAAATTTATATCAGATAACTTGCTGTATGAGAACTTCCCTTTATAAAATGAATAGAATATTGCATTAAATGTAATGTTTTGTAACTGCATGACTAATGATCGAAGTATATTGAAATTTGTAAAAACAATGATTATTGGTCTATGGGTTGAGTATGGGATGAGTTGAATTGTGTTAACATGTTCAATTGTGAAATATAGCACTCAATAATCATTTATTGATATTTATTTATATTTATTTCTTTATTTATATTTTAAAAACAGTGTACATGCTGGCTTACAGTATGCCCAAAACGTCAGCATGCTAATTAACAAATTACAGTTTTAAATAATAGTAATAATATAAGATACATCTCAAAAGGTCAAACAAATTAAATATGTTATGTTTTTTAAGCATCCTATATTCTACTCTCCAATCTTATTGCATGAGCCATAAATCAGACAAAAATAGACTAGTGTGTGTCCATGCCTCTGTGTTAAGGCAGAAATTTGTAATTCTATAATTTCTTCTCTATAAACGACAGCTCCTAACAGCATCCAGAAGTTGTTACAGTGGGCCAGATGAACCTCATTTAAATTATAAATTGTAATTTACACGTCTTGTTTATAATTTTCAGGATGGTGAGGAGGCGGCAGCATTGGTTAAGGAACTTTTGTTAATTGTGCAGAGGTTGGGCGCCTGCACCGGCCGTATGGAAGAGGGCGCTCTTAGAGTCGATGCCAATGTCTCTCTAAGACGTTATGGAGAACCTCTTTCTACAAGAACTGAAGTAAGAAATGAGTACAAAAAGTCTGAATATCCAATCTTCCTGCAAAGTTTGATTATCACAAGTCCTTGAGTGGCCCATGAATAACAGTGACATTTTTTTATGAAATAAGGGTGACAAACGAGCACACAGTCCACCTGAAAGTAGGTGGACACTATGGCCCATAGGTATATACATTTATCCTCGATTAGGAATCAAAACGCAGATGCTTTGTCACTCTACATTTATCCTCGATTAAGAATCAAAATGCAGATGCTTTGTCACTCCTGAGGACTAAGATGGAATGCCTCGTTTCCAGTAAAAAAAGGTCTCCTCATCTCTACACTCACCATACGAAACACAGAAGTATTAAGCTGCTATTTTACACTGGTATTCTGTGAGAGCGTGGTCCTTCCACCTGTACTAATGGGTATCCCTCAAGGCTCAATTCTCGGTACATTCCTATTTCTAGTATACACTATTAATGACTTACCTTCCCAAGTAGGGTATTATTTGCTGATAATACTTTCTTAATCTTCTGACATAGAAATAGAAATAGAAACTTTTTTATTCAATGTAGATTATAAACAGTACTTATTGAGTCAGTTTTTTCATTTACCACTGGTTCGCAAAAAAAACCTCTGTCCTGGGAAGAACCAGCAAGAACCCAGCGGGACTATTTCACTTCAAACTTAAACATCAATATGAGCTATGCAACTTATGCTATAAAAAAAAGATTAGAGATCTCACTAGTGTTGAGACAGCTAGATTAGTTTATTTCAGTTTTTTTCAGGCCTTTGACAGAGTTTGGCACACTCGCCTTCTGGCTAAGCTTCCAGCGTACGGCTTATCCCCTGATCTGATTGACTGGGTAGACTTTCTGAGTGAATGGTCTCCAGGTCGTCGTTGATGGCTGCTCATCCGATCCAGTGACTACTAACGCCGGTATTCCTCAGGGGTATCCACAACTCTCTTCCTGCTACATATAAATGATCTGCTTATGCCCGATATCTAAGGGTACGCAGACGACAGCACAGTTGTGGAGAGATACCAACCAGGACCTTCGGCCAGTCGGGATCAAATCCAGTCCGAAAGAGAAGCTATGATAGAGTGTGTGAACCTCACACTACAGGCAGTCTCCGAATGGGGCGATGCTAACCTTGTGAAATCCAACGCTTCCAAAACACAAGCGTGTCTCTTCACTGTAAAAACGAGCCAGCTTACCTTGGTTCCTTCTTTCCGAAATGTATCACTAGAATAGACCGACCGCCTCCAGTTGCTGGGGATTGAGATATCCTCAAATCTGAACTTCGGACGGTTCATTGACTCCAAGGCCAAAGCGGCTGGAAGGAGGCTACGAGTCCTTGCAAAGGTGAGGCGATACTTCACGAAGGGACAGATGCTTACTTTATATAAAGCGCAAGTCCGGTCGTGCATGGAGTATTGTTGTCAGTTATGGGCTGGTGCAGCAAAATGCCACGTAGCGGCCTAGGACTCGATGAAAAGGCGTGCTAAGAGGCTTATTGGTGGGCTTATTAACCCAAATTTGGTTAAAACCAATCTTACCAGCCTCGCATACCGGCGCAAAGTAGCCAGTCTTTCGGTCTTCTACAGGATGAATTTCGGAGAGTGAGCACAGGAATTGCATAATTTAATTCCTCCCTCTCCCTTTCACCTTTTCGTTGTTGACTTCGAACCAAACGGTTTGCTACGTCGTTCGTCATGCGTATAGCAAAGGAGTGGAATAAGTTGCCAGCATTTGTCTTTCCATCCGATTACAATGTGAGTGTCTTGAAAGCAAGAGTGAATAGGTTTTTCTTAAGCCAGTGTGCTTTACCATCTTAAGCTACATTACCACTTACCATCAGGTAGGATTGTAGCTAAGTGATGGCTTAGAATAGTTAAAAAAAAAGTTATTTTGCTATAGGGAAATACGGTTGATTTAGAAACTATTTTTGTTTTTTTGAAGAAGGCCATAAGATCCATTATTAAAGTTTGTAACCTAAAACCGAGAGAGTCTCTTACAGAACAACTTATAGAAAAAAATAAAGAAATAAATATATTAACTTTGGCCTCTCAGTATATTTACGAAAATTTAATGTATGTTTACAAAAACAAAGGTAGTTTTAGTTAAAAAAGTGATATACACTACGTACCAGTGTACTACTACTAGTGTATACCAGTTTCTCGACTTCAGAGTCAGTAATTCATTCTGGGGGCAATCATAAAATAAAAAATGACTTTCAATAAGAATCACATACATGTTGTGATCTATATTGATTAAAAAAAAATATGGTTGACCCTACAGGCCATCCCTGGAATTTCCCGTTAATTTTAAATGCAAAGCACTTCAAATTCCACCTATTATGTAGTTTTTTTATTTATTTTTCAAAATATTTCACGAACAAATCAATCCACTTTGACAAACTTGACGGCGTTCGGCGCAGATTCTTAGGCGATCATAGTTAATTTATTACATAAAAAACTATTCGAGATGAAATTTTGAAGTTATTTGAAAAAAATACTTTTTCGAAAATTTTCGCTAACGATTTCTCTTAAACGCATTAACCGATTTGGATGCAAGTTGAAGAAATTGAAGGCGTTTTTCGAGTTTAAGTGCTGATTAGATTTTGGAATTGATCGTTACATCTGTTTAAAAGTTATTTCAAAAAAACATTATTTTGAAAATGATATTTTAGTGATTTCTCAAAATCTACTTGTCTGAATCTGTTCGAAGGGTATAGAAAATCTAAGTTTAGTAAATCCCTTTTGAACGCCGCTGAGTTCGTTCAAATCGGTCAAGACATTCAAAAGTTACAGTTATATTACATACACTTTCGGACATCCTCGTAGAAATAGTCAGAACAGCTTCCTAGGTTCTCAAAACGTCGAGATTGGGTGAGAATTCGATTTTCGAAAACCGGGGTGAAAGCAATAACTTCCAGATTTTTTGAAAATATTGATTTTCATAAAGGGAAGTTAAAAATATTCTATTCTATAATCTATTCTTGCTCGCGTACTGTGACATTTACAGCAAGCTCGTGGTAGCTTTATTGACGAGTATCTTTGCGTTAATGTTACTTATTCAATATCAATAACATTGATGTCCATTAATAATAGATCTTACCTACTTTCTGCTTTTACATCAAATTGTTATTTAATATTTATGTACAGTTCAATGTCAAGTTGTACAGTTATACAGTTGTTTCTGATGGAAATTTTAAAATAAATTTCTGTCAATTGATACTTCAAATGGTTTAAATATCTACAAATTTGGACAAATTATCATACTCTACAACACATTGCAAGGGTTGACATTATGACAGTTTTATTATTTTTACAGATTAAAAACATCGGTTCAGTTCGTGGTGTTGCAGGTGCTATTCGTCATGAAATCGAGCGACAACGATCCGTGTTGGAAAATGGTGGCAAAATTATAAATGAAACCCGATCTTGGGATGCCGTTAACAAAGTCACCGTGGCTATGCGAGACAAAGAAGTTGTTCAGGATTATAGGTTTGTAATGTTTGCATGTTTGTATTAACTATACTTTCAAATGAACTCAAAAAGGCAACATTTTTCGAATTTTCTCATAAATATATAATATATTTACTATATTTTGCAAAATTATTATTAATATGTGGGTTGATAATAAAATAATAACCTGTATAATGTGATAGTAGGATTTTCACAAATTAAAAATTTATAAAAAAAATAGTTACTGAATGTAACTATTGTCATATTGCCAACAAGCAATATTCAAAAAACTTCGTAAAAGATGAACAAAATGAAAATATGTCTTATATATTAGTTTCTCAGGCGCAACAATTGGGAGGCTCAAAGAAATTAAAAGCCCAAGCCATTTATTAATTTGTCTTATATCATGTTGACCTTTGATTTTAACACATTATAACATAATTTTTCCTTTGCAAGACACTATTCTAACAGTGTTGTGTCAGAAATCGTTTATTTAAAAATAATTATATATAAACATTTTGGAAAATTGAAAAAATAATTAATAGGAGCAGTCTGGTGAGTCTTGGTTTCCATTCGTACAACTCGCGGCACTAAAGTCTAGGGGTGACCGTTATTGCGCATAATTGGTAGTCATCATTATCATCATTATTACAGCCCTTTACAAGTCCACTGCTGAACATAGACCTTCCCCAAGTAAGGCCACAATGCACAGTCTTAAGCCACCTGCATCCATCGACTTCCTGCATGTCTTACCAGGTCGTCATTCCATCTAGTGGGGGGTCGCCCTGCACTACGTCGACCGGTAGGGGGCTGCCACTCGAGAACCTTTCTTCCCCATCGGTTATCGGTTCCTCGAGCTATATGGCCGGCCCATTGCCACTTCAGCTTACTAATCCGTTGGGTTATGTCGGTCACTCTGTTTTACTGCGGATATCCTCATTTCTGAGTCTATCACGCGGAGAAACTCTGAGCACAGCCCTCTCCATAGCTCGCTGAGCGACCTTGAGCGTCCTCATACGGTATAATTGGCCGTATTGCGTATGATTGGCTGTGAGTATTGATCGCACGCGCTGATTAGCTCTCCAGTTGCATTCCGTCCCCCGTACTGATACGACATTCGCAGCTATCCCATCCACGTTTCAAGTTACGTTATTTTTATTGTAGTTGTACACTACAGTGCATTGTATTTTGTGTGTAATAAGTGAGCTAGTATAATATATTATCTTATTTTTAGCATGTAAATTTATTTAATTTTAATTTGCTTGTATAAAATATAAATGCATTATATTATAATGATAGTGTCAAATATGTGTAATGTAATAATTTAATTTAACTTAAAATAATTCAAAAATAATTTGAAACAATTTTTGTTTTAGATATATGCCCGAGCCTAATCTACCACCACTACGCGTTAATTTATACACGAGGGAAGAGACGCAAGACGTTCTTAGCGTTCCTCTAATAAAAGATCGAATACCGGAACTCCCCGAAGATTCTAGAAAGAAACTCATTGAACAATTTTCTTTACGACCAGAAGTTGCTATTCAACTAGTCAACGAACCTGTTCTATTGAATTACTTTCACGAATTAACATTAGGAAACACTAGAAGCCCTACTAAAGTAGCAAATCTTTTACTAAATGATCTCTTAACTGTACTTAACAAAAGAAAGTTTGATGTTGAAGATTGTGTCATAACTATTAGACAAATAAGAGAACTAACTGACATGCTCCTAAACAAACATATTAATTTGGACATATGTCGGAAAGTTCTAGACGAACTTCTCGATAGTGCCAATAACACATCACCTTTAGATATTATAACAAAAAAGGAATGGTCTATAGTTACAGATGAAGAAGAAATAACTAAGCGTTGCACAGAAGTCATAGAGAACAATCCAAAGCTAGTAAAACAATATAAAGACGGAAAAGTTAAAGTATTTAAAGCATTATTAGGGATTTTAGCTAAAAATACGTCTAATAAGATTGATATGTCAATTGCGGCTGCAAAAATGGAGGAAATTTTAAAAAAATTATAAAAACGTTTAAAAACGCTAAAATAATTTTATTTTCAATCTAAATTATCCTTATATTTATTACTAGGTGCCTCTTTAGGTTCGCACCACCCTCTTAAGACCGATTTACACTTCGACAAGTACAGTAGCGAGTTTAGTTACAGGATAGTTGACAGTAAACGGTTAAGTGGGCAGTAGCGTTCAAACAATGTTTTCGTGGCCAGTTTAGGTAAGGACATTAATTCATAGAGTTCGTTGGAGTATGACGTTTCAAGACTACAGAATTTTTCTGATTTTCGTTTAAGATGGTTCTAGGATTACGTCAAGAATTAAAAGATCCGTTCCGGGAAGTCTGCAGTTTGCGATCATATTCTAGATGGCCCCAACCATTACATGAGATATGATAGACCACAAATCCTCGCGAAAGAACATTGATTCCTACCAAGGATGATACGTGAGGCTATTGAAATTAAAAAAAACATCCTAATTTCAATAGAGAAGTAGGCTGGGTACTACCACCTGCTTGGGATCCTATAATTAATAAAATTAAAACTAAACCCAAGCATACCACTGCAAGACTTCAAAATACAGTTAGTTCATTCTGCGTAGATCGGACCAAAAACAATAATTAAAAAGCTGAAGGTACTCCGGGTTAACTTTGACATCGGGACGTCAGTCACCTCAGTCCCCCGTGACCATGGGTGCTGGAAAGCACCCGAAACGTCGGGTATTAAAATTAATATAAATAAAACGCGATAAAATCCGTAAAAGTAGTTTTAATCAAAGATCCAGTCAGAGAAGTATTAATGGTTGTTATTAAAGAAGTTTTGAAGAATTTTTATGAGTGCGCAGCATCTCGAGCAGTTTTAATTTTACAATTTGAACTTCTACTATCATATAAACATTCGTGTTCTAAATACTCCTGTACGAATTTATACGTGATAATATCTTCGGTCCATTTTATTATTAAAACCCAATATAAAACTTATAAATATTCAATAAAACAGTATTGTACAAATATATAAAAGTACAATTGTACGTTTTGGCGCGCAAACGTTGCGTCCTGTCAACTTATGCACTGAACTAAACTCGTTTACACGAACCTCGAGTTTAGTTGCGGGTGGCGGGAGACGCGCGGGAGGGCAGCACTTCGCACGCCGAAAAATAGCTCGGCCGGCTATCCCGTTCAACTTAATCGTTAACTTGCTTATTGCCGTTCAAACGAGGTTCTAACTTAACTCGCCAGGTTCGGAAGTTAACTCGCTACTGTACTTGTCCAAGTGTAAATCGATCTTTATGTATTTCTGTCGCAAGTTGTGCACAATTTGCTGTGGTCCGATTTGAAGTATAAAAGAGCCAGCAGAAGTTAACAGGCATTTTATCTTCAGGCGTGTAAACGCAAAATATGTGACTTGCTTTTTTGAAGTAGGTTGCAGATTAAGTTTATTAGTTTATATTTGGTAGAGTCATGCTGCAGCTATATTGTGGTTGCAGCACGAATTGTTCGGCTCGACCTGGGTAGGACCACGCTCTCAAAGAATACCAGCGTAAAATAGCAGCTTAATACTGCTGTGTTTCCTATGGTGAGTGGTAGAGAACCGGAGACATTTTTTACTGGAAACGAGGAGGAAATTCCATCTCAATCCTCAGGGCTGGTAACGCATCTGCATTTTGATTTTTAATTGAAAATAAACATAGATGTCTATGGGTCATGTCTAAAAAGTAAAGCATTTATACGTACCACTATAGGGCACAGCCCTCCTCTCATTCCTGAGAAGCAGCACTGCTCCAATGCGTATTGGCGGACTCATATGAAACAAAAAAATAATTTTGTTGGCTTTAAAATACTTCCCCTTATACCACTCAATATCTTGTTTCTTTTACGATGGCATGGCATGGATGGTACGTGGTCCATTCAACGAATTAACAAGTTCTGGTGACCTATGGATTCTTTATAGGATAAGGGTGACAAACGAGCACACAATACACCTGATGGTAAGTGGTTGGTGTAGCCTATAGAAATCTACAGCTATCCTCGATTAAGAATCAAAATGCAAATGCGTTGTTACCCCTGAGAACTAAGATGGAATGCGTCGTTACCAGTTAAAAGGGTCGCCGGTTCTCTACACTCACTATAACAATTACACCAGCATGAAGCTGCTATTTTATGCTGGTATTCTGAATGTTTTAAAACTATAAAAAAATAGCTGAACCTGTGAAGCTGAAACTGGCGGGAGATTTTTGACAGCTTAGTAATACAGTAGTTTTCACAAAGAACAAATATTGTGTATGGTTTAAAAATCATTGTTTCACGTCTTTGGGTACAACGCGTAATTTATATGTATGAAGCAAGGAAGGAGGTGTCTTTGCAAACGTGCGGAATTACTTCACGCCGGAACAGCTTTTTAACCTATATAAAGAGCAAGTCCGATCTTGCATGGAGTATTGCTATCACATACGGGCTGGTACTGTAAAATACCACCTAGCAGCACTGGAATCAGTGGGAGACCGTGCTAAAAGGCTTATGAGTGGTGACCTCGATTTGACTGAAATCTTGACATTTGAGCATAGGTGTAGTGTAGCCAGCCTCGCTATCGTATCGAATATATTCCGGAAAGTTTGTACAAGAATAACATGAAATGAAAGCTGTCGGACAACGAGAAGATCGGTGGGACTTAACAATAATTCACACATTCGAACCTTAAACAGTTTGCTTCGCCTTTGTAATGCGTATAGCAAAGAAGTAGATAATTTGCATGCGTCTGTCTTTCCGTCCAATTATACTCCGCGTGTCTTAAAGGCTTTTCTTACACTACTGTTAAAGTTACCGTTATAGTATATTGACTGCCTCGTTGGTCTAGTGATTGTAGTAGCGCGACTGCTGATCGTGAGGTCCTCGGTTCGAATCCCAGGTCGGGCAAAAAAATTAATTATTGAGTTTTTCCGTCAAGAAATTCTCAGTAGTTGCCCGGAGTCAGGAAGTTGGCGGTGTCTCACCCCCGTGCCTCGGAAAGCACGTAAAGCCGTTGGTCCTGCGCCTGATCTCTCTCCCGGTCGTGTCGGTTTACCGTCCTATCGGATTACGAGAGTGAGGGAATAGAGAGTGCACCTATGCTTTCGCATACACTTGGGCACTATACCTTCTGTGTACTAAATATCGGGAATTTGTCAATAAAACAAAAAATACAAATTATTCATCTAAATTTATTTTATCGCCTTCAAAGTAGGCCCCATCGCTTGCAATACAACATCTCCAACGCTTCACCCAGTCTTCCATACATTTTTCATAGGCTATTTGCGGTATGGCCTTTAGCTCATTCAGCGAATTTTTTGTTATGGCTTCTGTCGACTCAAAACGTTTTCCTCGAAGCGGTAATTTTAACTTGGGAAATAAAAAAAGTCAGACGGAGCCATATCAGGTGAATACGGTGCTTGGTCGAGAACTTTTGTTGAATTTTTTCGCTAAAAACTCTTTCACTATAATGGCTGTGTGTGATGGTGCATTATCATGGTGCAGCATCCATGAGTTGTGTTGCCACAAATCTGGACGTTTTCGGCGGATACTCTCACGCAAACGCTTCATGACGCCTAAATAATATTCTTTATTCACTGTTTCTCCCTTTGGAAGGAATTCGGAGTGAACCACACCACGGTAGTCAAAAAAAAAACTGTCGGCATCACCTTGATTTTGGAGCGACTTTGCCGCGGTTTTTTGGGTTTCGGCTCGTTTTCGAGACGCCATTCTAAAGACTGTTGGCTTGTTTGCATGTCGTACTCATATACCCATGTCTCGTTGCCAGTTATTATACGTTTCATAAAGGTCGGATCCGTAGAAGCTCGGGAAACCATGTCTTCAGCGACATGCTTTCGCTGCGCTCTTTGAACAAAATTGAGCTCTTTTGGAACTAGTCGAGCGGCGACGCGTTTCATGCCTAAAATGTTAATGAGAATGTTGTGGACGGACTTAAAAGATATGTTCACCTCACTAACCAACTCTCTCAGACTCATACGTCGATTTTCGAGCACTAGCTTCTTGATTTTGTCGATGTTTTCTTTGGTCGTAGCGGTTGAAGGTCTACCAGAACGAGGCAAGTCTACTACTACTTCTCGGCCTTCTTTAAAAGCCTTATACCATTCATAAGCCCTTGTTTTCGATATACACGATTCGCCGTAGGTATTTCGCAACATTTTTAGTGATTCACCACATGAAATATCATTCGAAACACAAAATATAAGGCACACTCTTTGTTCAACAATATTTTCCATTGTAAAAATCGCCGAGAACTCAAAACTATGACCCAAAAAGTGTATTTTAAAACAAATTAATGAAGACCGCTCAAACTTTGCGCGCTAAATCAGTACAGTGCTACCAACATGCAGTAAAAAAATTAGAACGACCTCTTTTACGAAGGTCTTTTTATTGACATATTCCCGATACTTTTTACACAGAGTAGGTAGTATTCCTGTCCTGCGCTCATAGCTAGTCTCCGCTGAGGCAGGCCGCCGTGGCCGAAATTCGGTCTGGAGGACATTATTAAAGCCCACCGCTTAACATAGGCCTCCCCTATAGATTGCCTCATAGGGTGGATATTTGCCATAGTTGCCACGTTTGCAAGCGGGCAACCGCAGTTTTTATTATTTTTAGTTGTTATTAGAAAAACGCTGCTGCCCATCACCTGATTTGATTCCCTCTGTCGCCTCTTACGACACCCACAGGATGATATGGGATCGTGGATATTCTTGCCTCATAGGGTGGATATTTGCCATAGTTGCCACGTTTGCAAACGGGCAAGCGCAGGTTTTTTATTTTTAGTTGTTATTAGAAAAACGCTGCTGCCCATCATCTGATTTGATTCCCTCTGTCGCCTCTTACGATACCAACAGGATGATATGGGATCGTGGATATTCTTGCCTCATAGGGTGGATATTTGCCATAGTTGCCACGTTTGCAAGCGGGCAACCGCAGTTTTTTTATTTTTAGTTGGTATTAGAAAAACGCTGCTGCCCATCACCTGATTTGATTC